TGAAGAGATGCTTCTAGCTTCAGTGGGCTGGGAGCAAGAGGCAGAGCTGAAGCCCAAGGTTGAGGGGCTTTCACCCAGCCCCTAGAGCCTGGCACTTTGAACTCAGACTTCTAGCCTCCTGAACTGTAAGAGAGAGAATAAACTGTTTGTTCAAGCCATCCCATTTGTGGTAGATATTCTTGTCAGAGCAGCACTAGGTAACCAGAACACTTGACAAAATATTAAAAATTACATTTTGATTAGTATTGCTCTAGTCAACATATGCTTTAGAATATATTTTGTAAGAATTATAAACTTAAGTATGATGAATTATGGTCTGTTAAGAAGCAAAAATAAGAAAGAGTGTCTGTCATTGTATTATTGAGTCAAGAATACTGTAAAATGGTGGGAGTGGTTAGTAATAGTGTCTTAGAACCTAAACTTCATGGGGCATAATGACCAGGATCAACCCAAAGCTGATTGCTGTGAGGCAGAGGTCAGGCATACCTCTACCCTCCAACCTTTTTACCAGTTTTTACACTAGCCATCCCTTCAGTAGTACACTCTACTTCTCTGCTGGGTTCAGAAAACCATTGCAATAGCCAAACAGAACTCACAGATTATACTTATAGTTAAGTGGTTTATCACGGAAGAGTAACAGGCTACCACTTGGGAAAAAGATCAGGAGGATTCAACTCGGCATCAGGATTAGAAAGCATGTAGGCAAAGTCCTTCTTACACGCTACGGGACAGCTTTCTTAGCTCCTCTTCGCTGTGCACACCTCCTGTCGGCCCCCTGAGGACAGGCTCCTCTTGGCTTTGCTATCTGTCAACACTGACAGGCCACTGGGCTCCCTCCAGGCCTCTCATTATCTTCAGCATTAGAGCCCTTGACTGTGTTTCAGCTTTTTTTCAGGATATTCCTCATCTCTCTTTTCTCTGCTTTATCTTTCTTCCTATTGCCTCACTTCTTTTCACTCTGCTTCTCTCTTCTTTTTTCTTTCTTCCTTCCTGCTTCTTTCTGTTTCTTAAACCTCTGTGGGGTGACTTCGTGTACAGGTATGCACCACATATCATCCATTTGTGCAACCTCTAATGGCATAATGGCATATATGTCCGTGAGACCAAGAGGAGGGACTTGCTTGGAAGGGCCCCAGGAGTCTCGGCCAGTGTTGAGTTTATGGCACCCTGGCAGCCTCTGCTGGGCCCTGCAATTTTGAAGCTATGGTGTGGCTTACAGACCCTGAGCCACAGTGGGAGCCACTGTGGCAACCAAGCTGTGTATGTCACTTAGTGGCTCCTACAGCTGGCGCACACCCTGCCTGGCCACCTTTCAGATCAGTGCATTCGGGGAGACGCTGGGTTGCACCTTGGCTGTGTACATCAGAGCTCCAGATTCTGACCAGTCTCCTGGGGGCTGCTCCAAGAGTGTTGCATGCCCACAGTCAGCCAATTGGCAGGTGCAAGTTTGCAAACTCTGAGGCTCCAGGTGCTAATGGAGAGCCAGATCAACTTGCAAAGTTGTTTAAATATATGTATTGAATATATACAGACGTGTGTACTATATATTATATATATATATAGTATAACAACATCCAAATCATGTTACGCCCTATTTCACAGAACATTTTGTGGATGTTTTTGATGCATACCTGTATGTACAAACTCCTTGTCAATTTTTAAGGCATGGCCCTACCACCAAGACCACAGACTCATCAGTTCCCTCCTCACAGGCCACAGATACTTCATTTGCATAGTCTGTTGACCAATCTAGGACAGGCTGTAGCCCAGGACCAGACAAAAAGTATCAAACCGCAGCTTACTCAGGAAATGCCAGTCAACCTGGAGGAAAGTAACAAACCCTCTAGGGTAGAAAACTAGGGCAAAGGTGGCTCGTCAGAGCTTGTTTTTATTGTTGTTATTTGCCATTGCGACCCCTCCGTGGGTTTCCGAGGTGGTATCACTATGGAAGTAGATCGCCCAACCCTCAGAGCTTAGGGGAAAAAAAAAAGTCTCTCAAGCTGTTTTTCTTAAGAACCAAGACAAAAGACTACATAAAGGAACTCTTCACTACAAATTCTATGTAAGAACATCTCTTTCCCTTTCATACTTGATACTATAACCACCGTATTTGGAAAGACATTAGTTATTACATTCTTGCTTCTTGTATTTGCAATCATGTTTTATTCTTCTTTCCTTTAATGGTGGAGCCTTCCTTTCTATGCCAGATGCCAGAGTTTCATCCTTTTCTTACGTATAGAACTGTTTATTTTCCTAATTATTGAGGAATTAAGTTTCAGGTAAGCACTGTACTAGAAAAATGACAGTTTTAGTTAGTAGTAAAAATAAAAATAATGTTTGATTTTTGTATGTAAAAACTATACAAAATATGTAATTACTACATAACTTAGTATTTGTATTAAGAAATTACAATATAATTTCTTCCATATTGGTGAGGTTTATTTAGTAAAGTTAGTTTTTTTTTTCAAGAATTGTTTTTTATTAACATACCAATGGGCCTGGACAAAGGAGATTGAAAACAAGTTAATTTTCTTCTAATGGAAATAACTAGGTTTGTTTTTGGTGAAGCAGAGGGATTTGTACTCTGCTTAATGGTCAGGACCCTCAGCATGCTGAGTATAGAGGAATTGACATTTCCTTGGATGAAACGATCTGACACCTGCTTTGGCACTGACATTTCTTCTGTTCTCCCAGTTTCTCAGCAGGTTGTGTGGCGCTGCCAGCTTTAATTAATATCAAAGCTGTGATTGAACAGAGGCAGTGCACTGGAGTTTGGAACCAGAAAGATGAATTACCTGTGAGTTTAATTTTCTGTGAGCTATTTATCTTTCCTGCTGTTAGAAGCATATAAATGTTAAGGGTCTACAATACTCGGTTTGCCTTTTAACAGGAAACATTGTTGTAGCCTTGTGACAAGGGTTCTTGTATATATATACATACACACACCTACTACTAGTTGCTGTTGAATAGGTTCCAACTTACAGTGAGCCCGTGTGTCATAGTAGAACTGTGCTCCATAAGGTTCCAAGTGCCTGATTTTTGCTTTCTTCCATGGCATCTCTAGGTCAATCCTCCAACACTTGTTTAGCAGCCAAGCATGTTGACTATTTGTATTACCCAGGGACTGGCATATAGACAAGGTTAAACAATAGAAATGGGGAACTAATACATTTTGGAGGCCCTGGTGGAGTTTTCTCCAAATGACTATCAGTTTGATTTAAAATATCTATGACAACTAATGAAGAAAAACATCAGAAGTTGCAAAGGCTGTATATTCTGTAGCTTGCAGTGTGTTCTGCAGTGTTCACAGACCACTCATAGTATGGTTAAAAAAAAAACATAAAAGTAGTGAGTCAGTGTAATTGGATTTAGTTTAGTTTTGTGTCATTTGTGAAATCTTGAGTTTGCACTGGTTATATTTTTCTAATGCCATTGGGGAGCTCTGGTAGTGTAGTGCCTAAGGCACTTGACTGCTAACCAGAAGGCTGGTGGTTCAAACCCACCAACCACTCCTCGTAAGGAAGATGGGACAATCTACTTCTATAGTGATACTGCCTCGGAAACCCAAGGAGGGGTTGATATGAGTCGGGTCCGACTTGACAACACATAACAACAACAGCAACAACAACAACAATGCCATTGAGGGGGGAGCCAAAAATGTTCAAATTAAGATTGTTCCTTCAATATCATAAATCATCAGGTGACCATTTGTGCTATATGTCCACTGCTGTAATGCAAAGGACCATGGTTTTAAGTATCAGCTCAATTCACTTGCCAATTCTGTAACTTCTCTCAGCAACACTTTATTTGTCTCTAACATGGGGGCCATACTTCTTTTTATGTGGCTGTTTAAGGCTAGAAATAGCATAGCTAAGCTTAGAATAATGGTGAACACATAGTAGATATTCTCAGTACATTGTGGTTGCCATAGTACAGTTATGGAAAGGAGTGGCAAAGGTATGTTAAAATTTTGTATTTCCACTAGGTCTCTGACAGCAGATAATAAAACCCCTGCCTGGAATTAGCTTGTTTTTGTCAGGGTTGTGTCATAGACCCTGAAGGACTAAAGCATGCATTTGGCTTTTTGTTTCTTCACTGCCACACCTATGCACAGGTTTATCTGCAATTACTTTGTTCTTCCAGCTGCTACCCTGTCAGTTAGCTACCCCAGCTTTTCCTCAGAAATCTTTCTTGATTAAAAGTGCAGGTGTATTCTCAGTCCTGCATGTGGTCAGGACACAGGCAGCACCCCAGCTCAACTGCTGCAAATTTGAGCAAGTGAGCAGAACTTGTGCCCTAACTTCCCTGATTGAGGCAGGTGCCTACAAGAATCTGGCAACTTCTCAGTCATCTTGTGAGCATCTTTGACACCTGCACACCAGAACAGACCAGACTGAAGTCTGAATTGGCCTAAAGCTTGTGTATCAGTGATTGTAACTGATGATCTTTTCTCCAGATTATTGTTACACTTTGTAATTTCTTGAGTTAGATAACGGACTTTTAGGTTGATAGTCATTTTAGATGTAGAAGAAAAAAAAAAGTTACATCTGACATTTGTGGAACCTCAGTCATGTGCCAGGCGCTGTGCTAGGATTTGTAGATTTTGTTTCTTTGTGTTGTTTGTTTGTTTTTGCTAATAATAATAATTTATAGACATGTCATGTGGGTGGCTCTGCTGTAGAGGTTGTGAAAGGTCCTGCTGAAAATTTAGCTTTAACGCCTTTGCTGCAAGTGATTTCTGTGGAGTATCATATGGGAGACTGGTCTGAAGCTCACAGAGAAGTAAAGCCTATTTAGTCTGGCTTTGAAAAGAGTTAGTACACTTAATTTTATCATCTGGCTAAGTATTCTACAATACATCATATCCAGACTAAAGAAAATTTGATTACTGTAGCAATGCCTAGCCTTTTTGAATGTTACTCTTAGACATCAGAATTTAGTTTGAAAAGCAATGCTATGAATAATTTTAAATCATGAAATAGTAATACTTTGACTCTCTGACTTAAGCATCTATGAGTTACTTAGAAGAGTGCTATATAAAGTTACATTTAGGTGAGTAAATTTCTGTTCTTTGCTGCAGAGTATATGGTGTCATGTGGATGACTTAAAAAAACTAGCCCTTTTTCCTTTTTTTTTTTTTTTTTTTAATATAAAACAGATTGAAGTGGACCTTGGTAAAAAGTGCTGGTATCACTCTATATTTGCCTGTCCCATTCTTCGTCAACAAACAACAGATAACAACCCACCCATGAAATTGGTCTGTGGTCATATTATATCAAGAGATGCCCTGAATAAAATGTTTAATGGTAGCAAGTAAGTGCCTGACTTTAAAAGTTAACAGTTCTGTAAACTTTTAGAACTTTGTGGTGTAGGATAAAAAGGAAGGAAGATAAATAAATATAGCTAGATTTAGAAGTAAATAAATGTCTTAATTATTCATTTGGCATAGTGAGTAGGATGTGATCTTTTGTCAGTCTTTATAATTTATTCCTGGATTTGTTGATTAGATTTATAAACATAATCTTTTCACCATCCTGTGGTGGAAGCCTTTCATGGTCATTAACTTTTATATATAGTGATTTAACTGAGTAGGTGATGGATTGTCCTTCATTTTTGACACAAGTGGTGGGAGCATGCTATATGCTGTTCTCCACATTTCTTTTCTCATTTAATGGTATATCTTGAAGTTCTTTTTATGTGCTGCACAAAGAATCCTCATTCTTTTTTAAAAAGCTACCATATGGTATCCTACCATATGGAAATAAAATTTATTTAACTACTTCCCTATTGATGAACTTTTATATTGTTGCCAATATTTTGCTTCTATAGAGAGTACTGAAAGTGACTTTTATCTTTTTTGTCTGTGATGTATAAATTCATAAAATTGGAATTGCTAATCCAAAGAGTATGTATAATTATAATTTTTATAAATAATAAGCTCAACTTTAAGTTTCAGAAGCCTATTCCAAGCTTAGGCAGCTAGTGAATTTTTTGTTGGAGTTTATTTTAGACCTTCTTATGATAAAATCCTTCTTTTATGGGAAGGCCCTGGTTTGTTAAATAGTCTGTCTGTGCCCTTGCCATTTGCAACAGCCTTAGTAGTGTAGAGATGTGGTAACTACTAGAAGCCAAGCCATTGATCTTGGTTCGTACTGTGCTGGCTTCGTGTGCTGCTCCAAGGCCATTGCAGGCAATTCTTGGTATGGGCTTGGCAGCTGCCATCAGGTTTGGTACCCTTGAGTGAATCGTGTGACCAATACATTTGAAATTGATTCAGAGACAGATACAGCCTAAACTTGTGAAGAAGAGAAGTTGGATTTACTTCTGAGACCCAAAAGCAATTTAGAGAAAAATTATCTTGTTTTGTTTACAAAACACCTTGCAGTGATTTCCACTAAAGAAGAGTTTTGCAGTTCAAAATCTGCATCGGTAGTGTTTGTTTGTGACCTTCAAAGCCTGGCAGTTATATTAAAGGAAAGCACAGTTAACTTTCAAAGTAAAATATACAGACACACAGATGGGATGTATGTAATTGTTAAAGATATTCTATAACTAAATGAGAATTGAATACCCAATAACAATCCTGTTCCTTGATTCAGTGTTTGTTTGTTTTCTTTTCTTTAGATTAAAATGTCCATATTGTCCAATGGAACAAAGTCCAGGAGATGCCAAACAGATATTTTTCTGAAGAAATAACTTTAGTTTGCAATTTGTAAGTGAAACTGAATTTTGGGTACATTTCAGAAGAGAATGTTCCATTTAATGCAGCTAACCAAGGACTCCCGTGTTTATATAAGCTAATGCTCCGGAAACTTTGCCAACATTTTAGTGTACACACACTGAGGGGAGTGCTCCAGATGAATATTATCATAGGGCTTTATTATATTCTTGGTCTTCATTTCTGATCAAGTAAATACACCAGCAGTTGTCATTCAATGCAGGTTTTTGTACTTAATTATATGGTAATTTTTTTACTTTTTAAGAGCAGAAATAGAAATTGACCTCCCCACCATGTGTTTAATATTTCTCCTGCTTTTACTTTTGTCCTTTTGGTAATTGTAAGCTTTGAGAACGTTTGTGAAAAAAATTTATTTCCTGTTATGTATACAAAATTAAATGAAAATTCTTCAGAAAAAGTTTGATAAATGGAATTGTGGTTGTAAAACTTACTGCATTGCATTTTTCTTTGCTTAAGGAAGAAAGCTGTGATAGATTCCAAATTTGCTTTTTGATATTTTCCTCTGCTGCAGCTCTTACTGAGAAGCCACACCACCTGCATTTGAGCTCTCTGTGTAGCCCCGGTAGGCTGCCTGTTGAAAATTTCATTATGAATTTGGCAGGCTGGTGTGACAAGTCTTCCGCTAGAACAGGGTGGAATGAGTACTATTGTTTCTTTGCTTTTATTTCTAAGAGGTCTTTGTTTTAAAAGTGTGTTCAATAAAATGAAATTCTGAAGTTAGAAGTATTCTTAAGTTGCTATTTGCTCTCTTGGTCTTGGTAGCACTGTTCTCTGAAATCTGCCTTCAGGACTTGGCTGTGTATTGCATTTATATATCATTGCAGGCACAGTGTTTTGTGAGTGTGTGTGTGTGTATACATGTGCACCGGCATCAAACATTGTGTATCTGGAAGGGAAGAAGCATGTTCCAGTCCTTAAATGCAGTTACCAGTCTCATCACTTTAAATCCTTAAAGTTGGAAGCTAGCAGATTTTTTGTAATACAGAATATGTTTATGGCTGTTTTTGTATTTGAATAGTATACTGTTATATTCAATGCCTCTCTTCTGCAAAGTGTACCATCTCATTAACTGTGAATCTGTATATTGCTCTAATTGGGTACAGACCTTTTCTCTTGTGAGGTATCTTCATTTAACTCACTGTCCAGAAATCACCATGTGTAAGATGTAAGAGTCTGTCTCTGTATGATGAACTACATGCAAAAGACTTCTATGGATATAATTCTGACTTAAATTCATGAGGTTACTTCGTTATGAGAAGAATATTATGTGGAAATTACCAAATATTTTGAAACTTTATTTTATCTGACATGGAATGGGACATCAACATAGGAAAACTTTCATGAGAAAATGAAAAAGAAGAAAACACAGAAGCAAAGAGAAGCTGACATTCACATTTAAACTACAGATTGACTTAGGTATGGGGAGAAGGATAAGATATTTGGTGCTGTGTTCATTGGAAATAGGCAGCATTTGCAAGAGTTTAGCAGCCTGGATGGTTTATCCTGAAACATTTACTTGGGAGAGCTGGGATACTTTTGTGAAAGAAAAGGTATTGCAGAAAAGCACTGCTTAATAATAGTGTGAGACCAGGCTTAAGTTGAGGTCTACCATGTGCTGTGTGGGTGAGCCAGGAATCATGATTGGCCAGTGCTTGCTTTGTCAAACCTCAGACTGACCCCACAGTGACTTTGCCCATGTTTCTCCTTTGTAGTTGGAACTTTCTATAAAAGTTGTCTTTGTCTAGTAAGGCAGTGGACTAAGAGAGGAGAGAAGCTCCTTAGTCTCTGCAAGATAAGGTAGAGAATTCCAGGCAATACTCTGGTTGATTGTATAAAACCTGGTTTATTATGTATTATTTTTTTTGCTTTGAATTAAAACCTAGAGTGTCATTTTTACCTTTTTCTTCCTATGTCAAATTTAGCTTTACTCTCATTTTATCACCTCAAATACCTATACAACATTTACCTTGAACAGTACAGATTTTGCTCTAGATAGAGGCTGGTGATGGTAAATATTTTAAGGGTCAGACAGTTCACACAGTTTGCTCAGGCTACTTCCAAAGACAAAAGCCAGAGCTGCTTTACCCTTCTTCTAGTGTTGGGAATCCTGTTGACAGTTTTTCCGTGTAGCTTGTGAAACTTGCTATAACTGAACATATGCATTTGATTTTAAGCTTCCTCTGCAAGGTCCCCATTGTCCAATCAAACAGGGTTAGGGTCAAAAAACCAGAAATTTCTGTTGCTCTGACAATATAAAAAATTAATGGCATTTGACTAAGTACATACATTTAAAATTTATTGGAGACTAAATGAAGGAGTGATGGATTTGAAGAGGCCAGACCTTAACCAAAGATGCTGAAATACAATGTACTGTCTTTCTTACTCTAGAAACACCTTCACAAATGGTGTTAGGACCATATCATCACTGCTAATACTTCAGCAGGGCAGGAGGATACTCTAGGTGTCTCTCTGCTCCACTTATAAAAGGTAATGATACAGTCAAGTTTTTTTTTTTTTTTTTTAACAGCCAACTCATTATAATAACAATGTACATTGAAATCAATTTCAGAATGGTTTCTTCCATTTTGTTGGAAACGATTTCTATTTATCAGTTGTAGACAAAGGCCATGGGACTATGCTAAACCATTTAAACTTTATTGTCAAATCCTTAGATTCTGACTTATCCACAACATCAGTGTTTTCAAGAATAATCTTAAGTACAACAGCTAAGGTTGTCTTTCGACCTTTTTCTCCTCTGTGATTACCACAGATGCCATTTCTATTGTTTTAGTGGTGATTATATGAAATTTCTATACATAAATGAACGGGTATTGGTGCCTCTTAATTTAAAAAATTTTGAAGAGCCACCTCATGTTCATAGGATTTGTAAGTATTTTGTGAGTGTGTGAGCATTTAATTGAAAATGAGAAAGTTATGAAGTAAATCTTTTGATTTCTCTGTAGCAGCTAATGTGTACATAGACACTAAAGCCCTCACTGAATTGTGGGGAAGAGGATCCTTTTTTCTCTCCAGGTGGTCCCACAGGCTAGCAACGTAAGGCCAGCATCCTTTATGCTGTGAGCTATTTCCACCTCAGTGATTTCAGCCTGGGGGCAGTGGATATTGCAAAAACCAAGAACTCTTGGTTATCTGCACAAGACAAACTGCTGGTAGACTTCATTAGCCCTCTGGTTTTCCAGCTCAACCTCTGATTAAATGGACTGACAGCTGAGCTGGTCAATCTGTTTAGTCAGCTGACTCAGGTTATTTTCAGGGAAGATGTGGAGACTTGGTTTGGTTAGTTTCATCACTAGGATGTATAAAGTGAAGACACAAACCAAATACCTTGCATTACTTAATTCTATGTACATTATCTTTGGTAACACTAGAGTTCTGTGGTCTTGGAATGTTAGCAGGGAACATGTAGAAGGTTTGTACTTCATAAGCCTGTTCATCTGTGGCAGGTTTGATGTGGTACTATTAATAGTGTTTACCATAAACAAATACAAGTTTCATGAACTGTTCTTACTGAACTATAATTGAATAGATACCAAAAATAGGTAGAATGACAAATGTATTTTAATAGCAGATGAGGCGCAGTTAGTTTTAGGGTGATTTTACTTCAAGACAGGAAAAGGAACAAAGTTTTGTTTTCAAGACATTTCCCCCTACAGTTTTAAGCTGTAGTGGGTGTATGCTTCATTTACTTCCAAAGAGGCAAAAAAAGGAGCTGGAATTGGCTTAGAGCACATGCTTTGTTTCATGTTGTGGGTGAGTACCTACACACTTATCTTAGGGTCATTTAATGTTCTCCAGCAAGGCAGATGTGGGGTTCACTAGGATTTTGTGCCTGATCTTTTCTTTTGGGAAGGGGTGGGAATGAATGTGTGGGGATGGGCGGGAAGCAGGAGAAGAAAATGGGAGCGTGTATGTGTGTGCATGTCTGAAATTCACCATTACCCCTGCCTGTGTCTGGGGAGGACCAGGTGTTTAATGTATTTTGCTCATGAATGCTGTGTGCATGTTTTTTTTTCCCCCTCACCTCCTGTGTTTTCTAAACTTGCTCTAAAATGATTCATTAAATCATCTTGTCCAGATGGCTCAGGATTGTATTTCTTTTTGCTTATCCTGTGTTCTTGGGTTCTATAGTATTTCTATAATTATGTAACAAGAATAGTGTTGCACTGTAATCTATCATATAAAGCTATATGTATGGAAAATTTTGATCAATTTTTAAAAAAAAAAAAATGTATCCTGTTTGCAAAGGCACAATAACGTTGCATTGTAGAGACTATAGGCAATAACGCTAACAATAAACCTTATTTAACACAAACCATATTCATATTCTCGGTTCATTTGATTTGTAGAAAAAGTCTAGTATATCCAGTAGTTTCGGGGATTTTGTTTTAGCTTAAAAAAACCCTGATATGTTTAATTTATAAATTTAAAATTGATACAAAAGAGTTTTGGAAAACTATAAGAAACGCTTTGTTAATCTGTGTATTCCTATGTAAAACACATGGCTTTTCCTGTATATATTTTTGAAAATTAAAGAAATGCACATTTCAAAAGTATCTTGTGGAACCAGTCTGTATAAATGTGCCAGGTGACCCAGAGGTATAAAGGAGGGAGTATCAAGGTGCCTCTACAGCTTGGAAAGAGAAAATTATGGCCATGTTTGCTAGAAGTCTGCATGCAGAGAATTTAAGAAAGTATCATGTGACTGTCGTATACTGTTTCTAGGTCACTAACAGCATGAGAGGAGGCGGCAGGGTGCCATCCCAAATTTCTAAGTAGGGGATTGTAATCAGTGTTTCCAGGCTGCTGCGTCCTCACACTCATCTTGTGGTTGGCTGAGACCCTGGCGTGTTACATGTGGAGTGGTGGCCAGTGTATGAGATGGAGGAAGGAGCCCCATGAACAGCTCCCTGCCTAGGCTGCTAGCATGGGGCAGGCACACACAGCATTGCCAGAGAG